ACATTCACTAAAGGAGTCTGTCTTTTTGATGAAAAAAATAAATAAAAGATGGAAGTTGTCAAGCAAACATTTCAGATGTAAAGAGCTATCGAAAGAATGAACCCCTTTGGGATGCTTATAAAGGTGAAAGATGAAAAAAATACATGAAATATTTTTACTTATTACATTTGAAACATAGCAAAGCAGACTTGCTTTAAGGATTTATTTAAATGAAGTGCTTGGACATGAAATTGATAATTAGGAGTGTTTCTTCTCTGACGGAATCATACTTTTGTCCATGTCTGCAGGAAACTGGTACAACAGCACAAAAACAGAACATTTTGTGTCCATGGTATCTTGTTTGAAGCTAAATTTAAACTTTAACTTGTTAAAAAAAGTTATAAAACCATGCTGGAATGAGTCTGTGTGTCCCTACAGGTGATAATTCTGATTGCAGGTGACTGAATTTGAGTGCGACACCCTTCGTTTGGCTTCGTCTGACAGTAATCTGAGCGCAGGGTGGTGACAGGTGCTGCAGGGGAAAGTGCACGAGGTTCAGAAAACGTGGCGAGTTGGTACAGAGAGCGTGCCGAGATGGATTAGGGCTTAGTTTAAGAGTGGGAGGTGTGTGGTGGGTGTTGTTCTCAGTGCGCAGGTGGTGCCGGAGGAGAGGACAACACGTCCACATGATTTTCTCTCTCTGCGAGCTGCGTCTTATGTGGCTCCTGGCAGGAGAACACAGTGAACCCAGATCTGAGAACAATTAGATGCTGTCCAACCGTGGCTGGATTTGCATGAGCAGCAGCTCCCACAGAAACGACACAGAATCACAGGCAGGGAACCGATTCACGCAGGTTTCTGTATGTTATTCTTAAATACAGGATACATTTATCTTCTTTCTCAACTTTAAACCATCACAAACAAAGAAAATAACATTTTCTGAATTTGTCTTCTAGAATTTATCATCTCTTCGGCTCGCTTCCTGCGCATCTGACAACCAAATTTAGATAAAGGATCAGGTGCTGCTGATTTGTTATCAGGTGGTCAGCTGTATGAATCAAACTGCATTCTGGTTAAATAACTGCGCCGCTAAAATTCACATTTATCAAAGGGTAAAATATTCAAAACACGTTTTCCCTTTTATAAAATGTGTCTCAATAATTCAGAGCTAAATATTGACCCATCAAAACACTATTCCTGCATTCTACACATGTTCATCTTCATATTATTGTAAAGTGCAAGAAGTCTTATTTTTACTTTATTTTTATTTTATTTGATAAAGAGCTTCTGGGAGTAGAGTTTTTTATTTTAATTTTTTAATTTATATATAGTTTGAAGTGCCCCTGTGATGGACTTGCGACCCATCCAGGGTGTACCCCGCCCCTCGCACAGTGATCGCTGAACATGGGCACCGGCGACCCCCGTGACCCAAAATGGAAGAAGCGGGTAAAAGATAATGAATGGAGAGTTTGAAGTGAGGCTTGTGCAGAAGCGATCAGATCAAAGTGGGCAGGAGAGTATCGTATTTTTTGCTGTATAAGTTGCCTTTTTTTGTTGTTGCATAAATTAACAAGTCCTGCGACTTATACACCAAAGCAACTAATATAAGTTTTTTTCTAAATATTTTCAACCAAATTTTTGGCTGAGATCTGACAATTTCATTCATTTTGACATGGAAAATACGGAACACTACCATTTTCAGCCGCTAGAGGACCCTTGAGAATTATGGCAAGCCAAGTGTTTCATTAATAGGTAAAAGTGGCTATTAATGAGATACTTGGCTTGCCATACCAGTGTTTCATTAATAGGTAAAAGTGGCTATTAATGAGATACTTGGCTTGCCATACCAAGCCACCTTCGTCTCGCTCTGGAACTCCTGGAACAAATGTCAAATCAGCTGCATTTTGTCGTGCCTCCCAGGTGAAATGCAGCTGATTTGACCATTATAGTGCATTTATTAAGGAAAAGTTAAACTGGGACACACCTTTACTATAATGTCGAGCAAACAAATAATTGTTTTTAAGTTTTAATCTTGTGAAATTCTTGTTAAAGTCCTCCCGTGCATGCTCCAGCGGCCGCCATTTGGCAGCCAATCTATTTTTGGCACAACACCAGCCCACATTTCCGAGTGATTGCATAATACATGCAACTTTTACGGCAAAGTGACATATTTATTTTTTCCACTTTATTGGACATTTTTGGATTGATGCGACTGAGGCGACTTATGTGACGTGTACGGCGGCAAGTGCGGTAATTATTTCCATGTAGATACTGCACAATGTTTAGCCAAGTATTCTTTAATATTTGGAGCAACAAAACAAGCTCAATCTATGGAACAGGCAGATTATTTCATGAAGCTTTGAAACGTGGAAAATCTGCAAAAAATTCCAACATTTCTCTTTTTAGACAGAACTCAAGTTCACTGACTTGCCAAGAATGATGAGAAATTAGGTTTCTGTCTTGGTCTCTGTGAAAACGAGTCAGAATCTAAAAATATAAGAATCGTTAGCAGCTTAAAAAGGTAAAGCTACATGAGACAGCTTGTAGTTGCCTAAAATGTCACAAAAATGGCATTTTAAGATAAGTGTTAATGTCAAGACAGCATAGCAGAGATGAACATCTGCTGGGTTTCATGCAGTATTTCTACAGGAAGGTTAAAGGTGCACAGCTCCACTGGAAAATCTGATTATAAGAAAGGCCGAGTGGCTGTTTTGTGCAGTGAAGGACAGATTCTGTGGTTTCAGGGCAGTTGGTAGAAAAGAAAATACAGCATGAACATAAGTGGCTTATAAATACAGTAGTCCCACGCTACTTCGCAGTTAATTTATCGCAGACTCGCTCTATTGCGGTTTTTTAAATAAAATTGGACATGACAAATAATTGGCCGATTGATGGGTGAGCCACACGATCGGCATGAAATATTTAAAATAAATTATTTAAAATCATTTAGCACCTGTTGCTCCCTTGTGCAGCCCATACTGCAGGATATGCTTTCTGCTGCAGCTGATCAGCTGTTCTCTGTGCAGAGCGGAGAAGTGGGCGTGGCCAAGAGCGCATGCAGGTGGCAAAGAGCAGAGGTAGAGAGATGAAATCATGATATTCTGTGCTCTTTTAGAGCGTTTAGAGTTTAGAAACATTGTTTAGAATATTGCAAGAGCGTGGGAAGGGTTTAAAATGCCTTAATATATACTGTATATACTGTATATATATATATATATATATATATATATATATATTAAAATAAACTACTACTTGAACTACTACTTCACGGTTTTTCACTTATCGTGGGGCTTCAGGGTACGGACCCCCGTGATAAATGAGGGACTACTGTATCACTAAATGAGCAAATATGCAGCCGGAATGTAAAACTGTTTATTCTGACGTTTCCAACAAAATTATTAAAAAAATAATGTAAATAATTTACTGACAGCTCACAGTGATTGGTGATAGTTTTACAGTGATGGTGAAACGCTTTGAGAACATTTTAAACATGATGAGCTTATAAATAACTAATGAGGTAATAAAATAGTAGTAGGAAAGTCTCTAAACTAAATAAACCAAACAAGAGTCAATAGGTTTCGAGGTGATTACTTAAAGAGTTGAAGATAAAAACATCCTTTTCAAATGCCAAAATGATTATTTTTCTATTTCATTATTTAACTGCTGCTTGTTTTAGTTTTCTTTATTCTCCAAAACATGCAATTGTCTTAATTTTTTTGTAAAATGAGCAAATGTCCTTTAATGAAGCGTTTCACGAGTTTTTACGTTCCCCCTCCATGTGTCTGGCGGCAGATTCTGACCTCCTGTGAGGGTTTTCTCAGGTTGGTGTTAAACGAGGATTCTGATTTTGTTGTTGAATCCAGTGTTAGCCGTCGTGTTTATCATGTTGGTGTTAGGTTGGACAGAAAAACATGCCTCTGGGATCGGGTCAGCAGAAACGGTCTGCATATCCTGCATTGTTCACCAGGATTAAGCTGGTAAACCTAATGGACGAATTAAAAACCAGACGGTGGCATTTTGTTATCGTTGTAGCCTCAGCGGAACTGGCGGTGGGTGTTTTATAAGAAAAGAGGTTTTGCAGAAGAGTGAGGATTTCTCCTGCACAGCAGAACAGCCAGCCTTCAAACAGTGCTTTAGTGTAAAAAAAAAAGTATTTAATTATGTATTAAATTGCACCAAAAAATGTAAATAAAAGGAAAAGCTTCACTGGAATAAAACAGGCTAAAACCAAGTTGTTATTTTTTTAAAAGTTTAAACTAAATATCTTGTTTGAAGCTTTTTCAAACTCAACTCATGATTTGTGCCTTTTAAACTGCTTAAAAAACAACTGCTGCTAAATGTAACAAAATATCTCTGATGCAAACAAACCTGTGAAACTAGATTACACGTTGCACCCGCTAAACATTTGTTTTCTTGCAGGAAACAAACGCGGTATTTATATAATTTCTCCGAAACGAACATGTTTGAATGAGAGCTGCTGAGCCTCTGCAACATGTTCAGAGGAAATTGAATCAGTTTTATTAATTCAATTTTGGGAGATTTTGAGGTTGACAGAGGAAGATATTATCTCAGTCTCGACTGGTTTACGCATTTCATTCCACAACGTGGGGTAATGACGTTAAAATTCGAAGTAGCTGTGCAGCTTCCAGACATGTTCGAGCTGATGCTCTGCAGACATGTGAGACACATTAGGTCAAAACACATGCACGCGTGTGCACGCACGCACGCACGCACAAACACACGGATAAGCAAGGAAAAAGCTTGCATCAGAAAAAAAACATGATTTTTACCATATTATTTTTAATTCATATAAAATTGACTTCCACTTGTTTAAAAATGGGAATCACATTTTGTTTTCTCATTATTAATCCGAGATAAAAAAAACAAAAAAAAGCAACTTCTTGTGATTTTTCAAGATAAAATCCATATTTTAATCTTATGAGAGGTGACCGATTTAAGCATTCAGTGTCATTTCTCTAGTGGGTTCACAGCTGCACTGCCATACACAAAATGTAACTTACCCACGGTGCAGTTGGTGGTGAAATGGGGCTCGATGGTGGCGGTATCATCCTGTGGGACCCGCTGATCGTAGCTGGCCGACACCCGAAACGGTGCTCCTCCGGGCGTCCCCAGGGTGAGTTGGACCACTGCCCAGCTGCAGAGGAGAGAAAGTAGGAGCAGGGTGAGTGCGAGGAGCAGACACCACGACCGACACAAACACCCACACCACCTGCAGGGGTCAGGGGTCAGGGTAGTCTGGATCACCGCAGCACTTCCAAAAGCCTCAGAGGACGAACCGTCCGAGGCTTCACGGGAAGCTATGGGGACTCCGTCATCCCCTTCCATTTTCTGAGGGACGCTTTCTTCCATTTTCTGCTGATGCATAGCTCACCCTCTGAGCCCGCCTAAACTGTGCAGGTCTACAACAGGTTCAGAGATAATCCAGAGTCAGGTGGAGCCTCTGCACAGCTGGACCTTTGCATATGATTTAAGCCACAATGACAGCAGGTGTGAGGAGGAGGAACAACGCTCAAAGTTGTTGCTGTGTATCAGAGCTGCAGTCCGGAGGCGAATGCTCTCCTCCCTCTGCCACCCACTGGCTTTGAGCGCTTCAACCAGTCCTAATTTCATTAAGTAAATTGAGTTGATTTCTGCCCGACTCTGAGCAGCTCATCAACAATCATACTCCCTCCCTTCCTTCTAGTCTTTGTCTTTTTCTCCTTCACAGACGTTGAGGAAAAACTTGAAGCTCTAAGCACTGTCCTGAACAAACGCATGCTTCTGATTGGAGTTTTAAACACAGAATCATTCTACCTACATGTGATAAAAGTCAATATACCATAATACTTGGGTAACAAAGCCCTGATAACACACAATTAGAAAAAAAAAAAAAACTAACGTTGCTTTTTAGAAAACTTGAAACGGTCAGATATGATGCAGGATGCTGACATGATCAGCGTGAAGTCCAGCAGTTTATGAGCCTTGATTTGACTTCTTCACTTGGTTTCAAGTTGTAAAACACTTTAAAGGTGATAACAAAACAGTTTAAGTCTGTTGAAGATTACTTTAACCATCACTAAGAAAAAATTGTGATTTATTTGATACTTTTTGTTTGATTTTTATAATTATCTGTAAAGTTAAGAAATAGAAAAAAATTAGCAAGAAATGGGGAAAAATAGGATCTCAAAATATGGAAAAAAAGATTAAACATTTAGTAGATGGATCTAAATGTTGGTTGCTTCAGGACTCCATGGATGCCATGTAGAAAATTTACACAACAGGAAGTTTGCTTTTTTACATCTTGGAAAATTAAAAAAAAAAAAAAAGTCCCAAATATATAATTTAACCCATTTGCTTTAAAAAGCTCATCTTTTTAGGCAAAAATGTACACAGACCTTTCAAAAACCATCTGAACAGCCAACATGTTTATTAATCTGATCCGGTTCTTTAGCTCTGACTTGATTAAACACAACTTAAAGGAACTGTGTCGACATTTATAAAACCAGGTTAGTAAATATCTTTTTCACAAATGAAGCTAAATTATTTAGGGAATTGAGCTGAAACTATTTTCAATCTTTTATAATGACTTGAACCAGCCTCAAACTGTTGGTAATGTTAAACTAAGAGGACAACTCTACATTTTAATTATGACGAGTGCGTTGGGAAATAACAAGCTGTCTGTGTTTACATTGGAGCTTATTTTATGCTTTGTTAGAGCAGCAAATGTTCATGCACGTTCACGCACACAAGCTGCAACAACCCAAACAGTCTCCGAGCTTCTCTGATTTCCCAAACGCCTGAGCTACAACCCGACAGGCTTTTGCTTTTTTATTTTTATTTTTCCCACCGCTCTCACCTAAGCCCAGTTTCTTCTCACCAAGTTGGCTTCTTGCTGCATCTCTCGACTGCTTTCATCACAGCTCAGGGAGGAGACGGACCGAACGAGGAGCGAAGCTACGGCACCGAAGAACACCGTCACCAAGCATCTCTGCAGGGTTTGACCTGCTCTCTGCAGTTCTCCATAATAAGGAGGAAATGAAACTCCAGATACTGTAAGTGCTGCCACCGTCTCCTCGATAACCTTCAAATGACTGACCAGCGGAGTAAAATACGTACTTCATGCTCGCAGTCAAATCACCACCGGCTCAGTCACGGGTCAAACAGAAAAATGGCCTGAGCAATCTTCATCAGAAGATAAAAAGAAAAACTGTTTGGCTTCTTGTTCTCAAATACAAAAAAAAAGTTAAATAGTATTAGGTTAAAGGCTTAACATTCCTGGAAGGAATGCCTTTCCATTTGTTAACTTTCATGCTAAAGTTTTAAGCTAAAATAATTTTATGTGTTGCATGAGTTTCCCCTATTTTGATTTAATGTAAATGATCTCATGCAGTGTTGTGAGATCTTGCAACCTGCACAATTAGGGATGCACGATATTATCGGCATGGTATTGGCTGATATTAACAATAAAATTAAATATCGGACATGGGCCATTCCATCAAAATAACTCACCTATATAAAAGGCATTGTTTTTTAAATATATATTATATATTTATGTAGTGTTACATAATTTTCAGCCCCCTTTTTGACATCTGCATTTGGTAGCAGGCCAGACTGACAAAGACCATACAGAACAATGTAGTATTTTAATTTCACAGCTGAGAAAGCTATGCAGTCTCTGTAAGGAGGTCTAGGACAAAAATATCGGTATTGGTATCGGTTATCGGCCAAATAAGTTTTAACATATCGACATATCTGATATCGGCCAAAAATCCAATATCATGCATCTTTATGCACAATAACCAATGATCAAGCTTCTGCCACATCACATTAAAGCTCAACTGGATAGAGTTCTGGACATATCTGTGTTTGCTAATGTCATTTAGCTGCGGCAGCTATTTTGAATTGTTCTGACATTAAATTCAAATCAGTTGAGAAATCAGGTAGATTCAAGGCTTATTTCCTGGAAGTGTCATTAAAATTTGTCCATTGATTAGACATTTTGGTAAGAGACATACAAAAAGACGCACAGACTTGGGCAAAAACACCAAGGTGTGTGTGAATACTAAACATGTTTGGACTTCACTAAATCTCTAACATGAAGAATCAATTGTACAAATACACATCAATGTCCCCCTTCACTGAAGGATTTGAATAGTGAATGTAGTTTTGTGATGAGTGTTTTTCTGGACTGGAATTGAACAGGGAATGCAAGTTAACCTGTAAAGTTACACTGTCTAGAAGAACAAAGGTAGATTCATTTTTCCTTGTCAATCTTTTTTAAATCTCTTTATCCTCACTCAGTCACACGCACGCACTCTATCTTTACAGGGACTTTGCCTTGACTTCCATTCATTTTCCATTCATTGCCATAGCCTAACCCTGCTCCTTACCCTAAACTAACCATTAGCAGTACATACCTAACCCATCCTCAATCCACACCTTGGTCCTAAACCTAAGTCTAAAACGGCGCTGCTTCTTATGGGGCCTGGGCTTTGGACTCCATAAGAAGCAGCGGGTCCTCACAATAAACATATGTTGGAAAAATGGGCCTTACAAGGTAAGAAATGTAAAGACACACACACGGTGGTGGACATCTTGGATTTTGACGTGGCAATCCAGTTTTTGATTCTTACACCTAGAAGCAGCCACACACCAAAAAACAAGTTTTCTTAAAACACGCACAGATGAACGGAGTGTGTTTCCAACTCCCCATTTTCGCTCTGCAATGGGGTATACAACTAGTTGGCACAACATGTGCTCAGTATATGAATATTTACTGTTTAAAAACAAAATTAAACAGCTTTTCTCAAGTTACAATAAAAATAAAAAATAAAAATCTGTCAAATTTCAAGACTGTTGAATCATTTTCACGTCTTTCCTGGAGCCTCACCGGACCGATGACGGAACAGCAGAGAGCAGAGCTGCTAAAAAACATCACTTTAACATTTAAATCCTATTATTATTTCTTTACCACACAAGCCAGAGCTGGCCTAAATAAAAACAATAAAGACTCATCGTGCAGGAATTACACGTATGTGACTAATCCAGAAGCGGATGTTAATAACGACTATTGTGCTTTCGTGGCTCATATTGGAGTGTGGGATGTTTAAAGTCACCTGACATTTGTTTGGTGAAAGACTCTCCCTGTAATAAGAAACTAAACGGCTCAGACCAGCAATCTTCTCATTTCATAATGCTATTCATTTCTGTTCCCTCAGTACTCAGTGGTCTGCCTAATGTAGGCCTTTTAATTTTCATTTGGTGTGTTTGAGTGAGGATGTGGGGTGTTTAACTCCTAACCACATTAAGGCTTAATTTTCTTATGTGTCCTGGTTTGCATTATCCTTCAAGTCTAATGTAGTGTGTGCTTCTCTTCCAGGTGTTCAGGCTTTTTCTACAGCTGTGATTTGTATTCAGAGATAATCTCATTCCATGTACATTGCATGTGTCAAGAACCCCGGACCATGAATTGTTTTGGATGTTTGCTCTCCGTCTCACTCCTCTTGCCGGACCATTTTCAGATTTTTTTCCTTCTGTTTAACCACTTAACTCTGACATACGAATCGTTCAGCCATGAAAAGACTGTTTAACTCGAGGGGTGAACCAGAATTGTGTTGACACGTAACATACAACTTTACAAAGAAACTATTTTAAATAGAATCTTTCACTTCTTTGTTATCAGCGGCTCAACACAAAGACATTTACATAAAGTCCTGTGTCAGGTCTTAAAAAAAAAAAAAAAAAATAAATAAATAAATATATATATATATATATATATATATATATATATATATATATATACATACATCTCAGTCTAGACAAGAAGCAGAAAATTTCACCTGCTTTGAATGTTAACACCCATTAAATCTCCGCTGTTAGTCGTTTTCATCCACACAAGTTGCGTTCAGACTGTTCCTCCTATTAGGTTTAAAGGTACATTGTTAGCTCTGATAATGGGATCGGGGGTTAGGTTAAGAGTAAAGGTTCTGGGGGTTAAGTTTAGGGTCAGTGCTCTGGGTCAGGTGTAAGGTTAGGTTTAGGAAAAAGGTTAACAGCTGACAAAAAAAAAACCTTTCGATTTTACATGCGTGCGAAGTCGCATATTATTAGTGATAACAATGTAACTTAAAACTACTAAGTAGTAGGAGAGACAGT